AAACTTTGTACACTAGGGACTACCTGCACAGACCTACGCCCAGGGACCTCCAACGGCTTTTACAAAAAGCCGAAGCTTGAGGATTTCAGGAATGATTTGTAGCATCGACTGCATGCACTGGCAATGGAAGAATTGCCCAACTGCCTGGCAAAGAGATTACGGAAATAGAAAATGCCAAAAAAGTATCATCCTTGAAGCCATTGCTGGATTCAATACATGGGTTTGGCATGCTTTCTTCAGAGTTGCCGGATCTCAAAATAACCTCAACGTGCTGGGTCAATCCCCAGTTTTCAACGATGTTTTGAGAGGTGAAGCCCCGAATATCACCTATCAAATCAACAATACCGTCTACTAGACTAGGTATTATCTAGCAGATGGCATCTATCTGAGGTGGACCACATTTGTCAAATCAATTCCGAATCCCCGATCCTAGAAGCAAAGATTATTTGCTTCCTATCAAGAAGGATACAAGAAAGATGTCGAAAGGTGTTTTGGCATCCTCCAACCTCAGTGGTTAATTATTCGAGGTGCGGCTCGTATGTTTGATGAGGAGGTGCTGGAGAGCATTATGATGACTTGCATGATCCTCCATAATATGATTGTGGAGGATGAGTATGATTACGATGCTGCAGAGGTCTACAAACTGGATCCCATGAACACGGCCTTGACACGAATTTATGAAAGGCTCACGAGGCCAAGTGGAGAACCATTGGAGCAGGAATCATTGGTTAGGGATGGTCGTTTCATGACCCATATGATTGATCGATATACATAGATGCAACCTTCTTATATTCATGAAAGGCGTCAAGTTGACTTGATGGAGCATCTATGGGCTGTGAAAGGCAATGACGGTGAATGATGGAGTATAGATGCTTTGGTTAGGTTTTATTTAGTTATGGTTTGGTTATGTTGTTTTTTTTATATTATGGTTTGGTTGTGGTTTGTTTTTATTATTGTGCTTTGGTTATAGTTTTTTATATTATTTTATTATGCTTTGGTTGTGGTTTTTCCTTTTGAAAATGCAAGAAACATTAAAATATATATATATATATATATTAGGACATTAAACTTAATCAAACAAAAATTACAAAATATTTACCTCGCTACTAAGATTTTCCCCACTTCTATGGTTGCCCCTCGCTTTTGCCAAGGCATCTCTCCATTTTCCCAACTCTTTATTGAGAATTTTCCACCTACTAGACAATGCCATTTCCGTACGAGTCAACCCCGGAATTCTTTCACAAAATTCGGCATGAATTTTTTTCCACATATGACAAAATTTCATCTCATTGCCTGGCATGGGACAATGACTAATTTGGACCCAACACTCCGACAAGAAAACATCTTCCATGGTGCTTCATGCCCCTCCGGTTTCGATAGAAGAAGCCATAAAGATAAGAACAATTTGAAAGAGAATAAAATTTTGAGTAAAGAGTGAATAATAGTAGAAGTATAAGAAAATGTATGAGGATTGGTGTTGAAAGTGAAGGGTATTGATAGATATTTATAGAAGAAAAAAGATTCAGAATTTTTTGATATATTTTTTAAAAAATTTCAAATTTTTTTCATAATTTTATAGCCAAAAAAAGGTCAGCCGTTAGATTGGAGGAGGAGAAGCTGATCGGAGCGCCCAGGTAAGGACACGTGTCTTCTAGCTATTGGAAACGCACAGGGATGACGTCAGTGCACGCGAGTTCCTTTTTTTTTTTTTTTACTGCGCTGACGTCATCCTCCCCTCGGGCTGCGGGTCGGGCAAGACTTGCCTTCGGGGCCAGCCCATCTTCATGGGTCCCACAGCCAGCCCAGAAAAAAGTGGCCCGTTGGAGCTAGATTTTTCGCCTGGCCTCCCCCCAGCCTTAGGCTTGGGCTCCTCGGTGGAGCTGCTCTAACTCACACTCGTCGCCCTTCTCTTGATCTCACTAGCTCCTGTCATCCTCACCAAATCGATAGCGACGACTACCGCTAAGGCGTCATTGTTGTCTTTGTCGCTCTCTCTATCTCTTGTCTCACTCATCCCCTCTATCTCTCTCTCTCTCACCTCACCCTCTCCTCTCTCTCGCTCTGCACCTCTCTTTCTGCACCTTGACAACAATCCCCCATAGTTGAAGACCCAGATCGAGCTTACATGTCTGATGCAGTAAGTAATCTGTTCTTTTCCTCACCCAAGTGGTCATGTCCTAGTTCTTTTACTTTCAGTTTCATCAATTCTTCAATATTTTCAATGTAGTTTGATGGCTATCTGTGATTTGCTCACTAATCTCAGATTTCAGTTTAGCTTGAAGTATTTGACAAAAGTGAAGATAACTGCTTGGTGATATCTTCACTTTATCTTCAATATTCTTCACTTTGAGTACCCATTGGTAGGGAAAAAAAAAAAATTTTAAAAAAGGCTTCTTTTTATTTTAACTTCAAAAAAGTATGGATATTTGACAAAAGTGAAGATTATTGATCGGTGGGACTGATATTTGATGCTTCATTTTGTATTTGGTTGATTAAATATTGATGGAAATAAAAAGTTAACATCCCGTGACACTTGGCTGAAATAGATTTCTTAAGAAAACGGAACAACAGAGCTTATAAGATGTTTTGAATGATAACTGATTGAGGAGTGTTTTGATTTGTGTATTTGAGTTGATTGAGGTGCTATAACTTGTTTTGATCTGTTTAAATGATTTGAGACAAAAACTGCAAACACTTTTTTTGGTTGGTGAAATTAACTAACGAGTTGGAGTATGATTCTGGTTGTTTGGTGAGTGATTTTTAATTGATACAAGTGGTTTTTTTTTTTTTTGGCCAGCTCCCTTACTTGATACAATCATACAAGTGAATATGTTTGGTATTTAAAATTTAATTTGGTGTTTTACTTGTATTTTTTGTCATGGGTTGTAAAATATAATTTGGTGCTTTACTTGTATTTTTTGTCATGGCCTGGGATGTAACTTGTAAGAAAGAACTAATTTGATAGTTGGATGATGCTTGTGATTATGATTAGTTTAGAAACCTTAAAAAAGCAAGTTATAGTTGAGTTGAATTTTCAAGATTTGGGTAAGGAAAAACAAAATGGGCTTTAATGGATGGCCTGTTTGAAAAATTGGCATTGTGAAAAAGACTAACAAAATTGGGCTTTTGAATAAATAAACTAATTAGGTTTTGGCAATTTGACCCCCAAAAAAGTGGGTTGGGCTTAAAAAACTAGTATTGGGCTAAAGCCCAAAACCGACCAAAAATGTCAGAATTGAACCGGAGCCTATCAAGTCGGCCCATTTTTGACTTTGAGTTTGGACCCGACCCAACCTGAGAACCGATATCTTACTCGGTTCGGCTCATGAGTCACTCAAAATTATACTCGACCCGAACTGTGCCCAGGCCTAATGAAGACCTAAAGATAAATTGTCGAACCTCTATCACAATGGTCATCTGCAATCGTCATGGTCATCTGCCATCACCAAAGACGCATACCATCGCCTTCTGCCATCGCCTTCGTTGCCTGCCATCGCGGTCTGCAACCCATAATTGGTGGTTGTGATTGCCGCTTGGGTGTTGAGTGGTTGCTGCTGGCGCTTGGGTGGAATTGGTTGTAGAAGCTTGGGTCGGGACTAGTAGTCCCTCATTTTCACATGGGTTTCACTAATAACACATAAAAAGGTGTTTTTGGTGGGCTTAGGATTACTAATCCAAGTTAATACTAGGACCAGGTGACAACAAACATGGAATTAATTTTTAACCAAGCCAATTCAAGCCAACGAGGTGTAACAAACGAGCCCCTAATGTCTTGATCGTTAATGGCCTCGCAGCAACCGTGATCTCTACAAACCTCTAAACTATAAACCAATTCACTAACAATCTGCAAAAGCAAAACTCAAACCTATTTTGGGCGGTCAGATGTTTAGATTCAATATGATCATTTCCTCCAATATCTTAAATTGGTGCAATTGTGCAACCATGTGGCATCCGTAGACAATCATAATTCAATCTAGGTTCGAATGTAATGTACCAACGTTTCTTCTATTTGCACTTTCTCTACATTTTCTTTTTTCGATCTTATCATTTAAGAAAATCTATATTACATATTTTCATTCTAAAGATATGCTAATTCATGTCATACTATTCTTATTTATATACCCCTCATCTAAAGGTAGCCGCAGCATCATAAGAAAGTAACCATATGCAATATTGTTATTAATTTAGATGTTACCCCCATTAGAAATACCAACAACAATTATAGTTTATTTAACAATTCAGTTTTTATTTTTGGTTGGTCGTTTTCAAAGTCAGGTTCACAATTGAGGACACTTGCACATTCGTCTTTTCTTAATTATACTATAAAGATATTAATTCAAGAGCACCTATATATATATTATTTCTGTGGATTCCAACTTCTTCAGGTCATGGCTTACATGTGAAAGAATTGGTGAAGAAACTAATACAATGTGTAAGGAAAACAAAGGGGGTGAAACATAAAAAAAAAAAAAAACAAATTGATTTGAAAGAAAGGAACTACCAAAAAATAAGTCCTATAATGCATTGAGGAAACAAAACCGATCAACCGTTTGCAGTTGATACAGACACCTGAAACTTGATCCATGTCCCGATGTCAATGCTCATTTACCTGGAAATGTATCCACATCAGCCAGATTCTAGCCACCATCTCATGAGTATTTGATCGACTTAGTAGTTGCTTTGCCAAACTTAGAAACCTACTTGTGGCAGAAAAATAAATATTTCTGAAATGTTTTCTGAAAAGTACCAATAGAGCCTTTGAGCACAGCTGCAGAGCATGAAGAAACTACTCTGCTTTTTGCTCCTCAATCTTGTTGGTCTTGATCTTACAATCTGTTAGATAAAACCTCATAACAACCAAACCTGATCAATGCATTATTCTCGCTCGTAAACAAGTAAACCATCTAAACACATCGAAAACTCACCCCAAGTTAGTATCATCCATGTAAATTTCATAAGTTCCCCAACGACAGATGGAATGGAAATTTTCTACTAGACTACTATCCACTTCTAACAAAACTAGAGCCCCTGACCTTCCTCACATGTTGGTTGACCATTAAATTCCTCACTCTTTCTGCATCATCCCACTTCCCACCCAAAGCATACAAATCTGAGATAAGAGAATAAACCCCACCATCGTTATCTGGTTTTACCATCTTCATGACCTGCTCAACCACTCGTTCGGCCATCTCAAACTGTTTATGCTCCTTACAAGCACATAAAAAAGCACTCCAGACAACAACATTGGGTTCAAATCTCATTTTCTTAATAACCTCATAAGCTTCCTCTAACAGTCCTGCCTTGCCATACAAATCAACCATGCATCCATAATGATGAATTTGAGGCTCCAAGCCACTTTCTTCAATCAACTTGAAATATTTTCGGCCCTCCTCAACTAGTCCTGTATGCACACAAGCACTAAGAATTCCTGTGAAAGTCAATTCGTTAGGTCTTACACCAGATTTTTGCATCATCTCAAACAAAGACAACGCTGCTTTGCTGTAGCCATGTTGTGCCGATCCACAAATCAATGCAGTCCAAGTCATGACATTCCTTTCTTGCATCAATTCAAAAACCCCTGCAGCTCCCTTCAAAAACCCACACTTAGCATACATGTCAACCAGAACTGTACCAATCTCCACATTCAACTCCCATCCATTCTTGACCATAAACCCATGAACTGATTTCCCCACAAGCAACCCAAGATGACCCAGGTGGGCACAACCGGATAAAACTGAGCCTGCAGTCACTTGGTCAGGTTTTAAACCTCCATCCATTACCATATCCCGAAAGACTGACAGGCCATACTCTTGATTGCCATTGTTCACATACGCAGTGATCATGGCAGACCATGATGCAACATCTCTCAGTGGCATTTCCTCAAAAACCAAACGTGCTCTCTCTACATCCCTCGACCTCGAATACCCTGCAATCATCGTGTTCCACGTGACCGTGTTCTTCTCAGGCATTTCATCGAACAGTACACAGGCATCCACGAACGAGACAACAACGTACGCATGGAGAAGTGAAGTGGCCACATAAACATGATTGCCAAAGCCAAGTTTCATGATATGGGCATGGAGGTGTTGAATGATTTCATGATTCCTTAACTGGGTACATGATTTTAGCGTATAGAGCATGGAAAAACTATCAAAAGGAACAGACTGACGGTGCATTTGAGAGTAGATATGCAAAGCTTTTTGGGGGGAAGAAGCATTTCGTATAGCCGAAGCCCAAGAATTGAAGCTTTTGAAGAAAAAATAAAAGGCGTGGTTAGTGGGTCTTATTAGACGGTTGGAGAGCGACACAACGATGGATTGCATTGCTCGTAAGCCTTGTATAGTTTCATTTGAAAAAACTAGCAGTTGGCGCGCTCTGTGTATAACGTTTTAGCTGTTTGGAAATTTTATAAATTCAAATTAAAATCTTTCAGTAAATATTAAAAAGCAAAAAAATTAAATTAAATTAAATTAAATTGGAAAAGACCAAAATAATTAGTGATCCAATTGAATATCCGAGCACAACAGGGATCAAAAAGGTATTTCACCCTTAAAAAAACAAAACCTATTTTAAACTAATTGAAATCCTTTTTTGAAAAACACCTGCTTTAATTTAGGGTTTAGGGTTGGGAATAAAAAAGGGATGAAGTTAGTATGGCAGTTGCTTGGCAAATTGAAATGGATGAGCCATCTTGGGAATTGATATCAAGCTTTCGAGGAAGCTACAGAAAAGTCAGGTTGCAACTCAGAACTACTCCTCAATCAGATTGGAGCATCCAACTGTTGTCCCAAATCCCAAATTCCAACAAATCCTATGACAATCAAAGCAAAGGATGTTATTATTGCGATCAATCTAACAAAACAAATGAGCCATCTTAACAAATTGAAAGCTCAACCCAAGTTAATATCATCCAGGTAAATCTCATGGGTTGCCCGAGGACAGATGGAATGTTAACATTCTACTATCCGTTCTAACAAACCTAGAGCCCTTAACCGTCCTCGCATTTTGCTTGACCATGAAGTTCCTCACTCTGTCAGCATCATCCCACTTTCCACCCAAAGCATACAAATCCGAGATAAGAGAATAAAGCCGATCATCGTTTCCTGGTTTTACCATCTTCATGGCTTGCTCAGCTACTCTTTCCGCCATCTCGTACCGTTTATGCTTCATACAAGCAGACAAAAAAGATTCCCAGACATAAATATCGGGTTCATGTCTCATTTTCTTAATTACCTCATAAGCTTCTTCTAACAGTCCTGCCTTACAATACAAATGGACCATGCATCCATAATGCTGAATTGTAGGCTCCAAGCCACTTTCTTCCATCAACTTGAAGTATTTGCGCCCCTCCTCAACTAGTCCTTTGTGCATACAAGCACTAAGAATTCCTGTGAAAGTCTGTTCACTAGGTCTCACACCGGCTTGTTGCATCTTCCCAAACAAGGAAAATGCTGCTCTGCTGCAGCCATGTTGTGCTGATCCACAAATCAATGCAGTCCAAGACGTGACACTTCTTTCTTGCATCAATTCAAAAACCGTTGCAGCTCCTTTCAAAGACCTACACTTAGCATACATGTCAACCAATGTGGTGCCAAGTTCCACATTCAACTCCCAGTGATTCTTGACCATAAACCCATGAACTGATTTCCCCAACAACAGCCCATGGGTACCCATGCGGGCACAAGAGGATAAAACTGAGACTGCAATCCCTCCGTCAGGTCTTATACCTTCGTTCTCATTCATTACCATACTCCGAAAGAGCAATAAGGCATGCTTATGATTGCCATTTTGCACGTACCCACTGATCATGGCAGAAAATGAAGCGATATCTCTCAATGGCATTTCCTCAAAAACCAAACGCGCTCTCTTTACATCCCCAGATCTCAAATACCCAGAAATCATTGTATTCCAGGTGACCGTGTTCTTGTCAGGCATTTCATCGAACAGTACACAGGCATCTTCAAGCGAGGCAGTAGAGTGCGCATTGAGGAGTGCACTGGCCACATATAGATCAGATCTAAAGCCAAGTTTAAGGATGTGGGCATGGAGATGTTGAATGACTGCATCACTCTTCAATTGGGTGCATGATTTCAGCGTAAGGAGCATGGAGAAGCTATCGAAACGAACAGATTGACGTTGCATTTGACAGTAGATACCCAAAGCTTCATGGGGGGAAGGAGCATTTCGTATAGCTTTAACCCATGAATTAAAATTTTGGACAAACCAACAAGAGGCATGGTTTCTGGGTTTGATCAGATGGTTAGACAGATTGACCAAGGATTGCATTGTTTGTTTAGTTTCGTAGGAAAATTAGAGCTGCTCTATGCATAACGCTTTACATACATTGCTCTCCTCTCTTTCCACCCATTCCCATGTAACACTCATTTTAAAAAATAAACTCAAATAAAAAATAAAGAATAATGCTACTTTTACCACATTTGTATACCACATCTTTACTTTATACCATCTTTAGTGGCAGCTAAGGTAGGCAGCCACATCAATTAAAATTATTTAATATTTTCTTTTCTTTTATGATTTATTCCAATATTTATTTTTCTAATTGTCCTAATTAAAATACACTTAATTGATTTAATTGATGTGGCATATAATATTGACGTGCCACATCATATAGTATAGAAATGTGGGATAAAAATGTGGTAAGTGTAGCATTACTCAAAAATAAAACACTAAAAGGGAATATTACTTCGATATAAAAAGCGTGGAATGTCAAATCAACTGTAGGATATAAAAAGCTCAACTAACTGAACTATCATTTATTGGTTAAATATTACCAATAATTTTATATTAAAGGCAATCTCACGAGTTTAGAACCACATGTTTGAGGCTACAATTTTGTAATATAAGTTTAATGTAGAGAGTCGGGATCCAAAGTGTGTATAAATTCAAAATATAAGAGTGGCACAAATTATGTGACCCAAACTCCAAAAATTCCTTTCAAGTTTGTGTAAAACTTACAAAGGTATGTGTGATTCCTTAGTAAGTTTTTAAGATGTTAGTACCCTAAGGACTTGTTTGGTAGGGAGGCCTAGACTTTATTAGATAAATGCTTATATTTTGTGTGCATTGAAGGCATAATATGGATATGTTGCCTAACTTGGAGGAAGAATGGGGACTATCTATAAGAAGTTAATGACTAAAATTTATCCCCCTAATCCCCTTGAAATTAATGGGATTATGAGGGATAAGTTTTAGTCATTAAACTCTTATAAATAGTCTTTCTTCGTCCTCCGAATTAGACAACAATATCCATATTATGTCTTGATTGCACATAAAATGTAGACATTTTGCTAGTCTAATCTAATCTTCCCCAACAAACGAGACCTAAATACCAAGTCTAGTTCCATGCCGTCACATGTGTGAGCGGGTGTAATTTTGATAATTGAGAAATGTGAAAGAATCTAGTAAAACAGTTGCTATCTCCGTGATATTTCTATGCCCTAAAAAAGACGAGCGATGAACCTTTTTTTTTATATCAAAACAAGCGATGAACTAGTCCATCAATTTTCTCACATACCCAATTGAGAATTAGCACGACATAAACTGAAAGCAGCCAGAATTATACAAACATCCATAGCTGAAATGGGCTTTCTGGAACAGAATATGGGCTTTTTGGATTCAATGCAACCATAAAATAATGACTTGATGCGTTGGTCACTACTTGCAACAGAACATAAAAAATCTAGAGACTGTTTATATATTAATGGATTTAATAGATGTCAAGAAATCATTGGCTGCTGATCAAATTAGACAGCATATAATTGAAGTGTAAACTTTGATTATCACTTGAACACTTCATCTGTCCTTATCCCCCTTTTTTTCCCCAGTTGCTCCAAAGCTGGATGGAACTACTATTTATTTATTTATGTCTTTTCAGTAGTTGTATCTGCCACTTCTCAGATCCTTCTTTCCAAAACCCAATTGGTGTGCAGAAGATTTATCCACCTATGAATTATAGTTTATTTCAATTTGTATATCAGGAAATTATAGACACATATGATAGCAGGTGCCATCATTTGTGTAATATTGCTGCTGCTTGGGGCCATGAGCTGTTATGTTTATACCTGGAATTTTTATTGATCATGTTTACAAGACATTGACAAGCTTAAGAGATCTATCAAAACTCAGCATATCCCAAAAACAACAATCATATATTCTGAGTTGCAAGATCAGAAGTTCTTACCTAATGACTTAAAAATGACATGAAATAAGCTGCCGACATTGACCGGAATGTTCTACAAATGCATAAATGGAAATGGTCACATGACACTGCTACGTCGATATAACCCTAGAAGGAAATTAGGCCCGTATGGATCCTATGATTGGATTTTGAATTTAGATTTCTGATCTATGAATTTTCGCAGCTGATGTAGCACACAAGGGGGGGCAATGATGGTCAATGACTCCTTGCAATATATCAAAGAAAAGTCTTCGGAATAGAGACATGCAGTGAGACAAGTAACAGCAGAAGGAAAATGTTGTAGAAGAAAAGTTATGAAAAGGAGTGGGGGTTATTAGGGCAACTAATTAATCATAATAATTTGATCCATGAACAGTAAGTAGATTGATATTTTTTTAGTAGTGGGTTTAATCAAGCTTGTTTTGGCTTTTGCACATAAAATTTCTTCGAAGTGATGATCATTAAAATTGATCAGGGCCAAAAGAAGAAGGAAGGATGATTATGGAAACTGTCGGTAACATTACTATATACAGTGAAGTTTATAATGGACTGGTGGTCCATCCTTCTAATTAAATATTGGTGATGATCATGGAAAATTTAGTTGACCATTTACTGCATAAAAAGCCCGGATTATGATTTTGCCTCCCTTAAGCATAGGAATTAAAAATTCTAAACATACTCTCTTTCTTTTGTTGAGAACTTTCCCTTTTGAAAAGAGCGATAGCATACTACAAGGATGCTAGGACTCGAACTCATGGCCTTTCTTGAAAGAGCAATTACTCTAAACCATTAAACTAATAGTTCTTTGCATAAACCTACTTAATTAATTTGCCAAGGCTTGAGCATAATTTGTGTATAAAACCCCAAAAGGAAGACAGTAAACAGTAAACTGATGACTCATACAAAACAACAAAAGAAGAAAAGGGTTGAAAAAAGTTGGGGATGATTTAACTTGTGAACTTGTGATGAGGGGCGTGCTGCTGTCTGTTCTGTTCAGCCATGGGAAACACGCAGATCTGATAAATATTTGGTTTTGGATTAATATACACTTATTCATTATACCTTTGAAAAAATTGGGGATGAAATGCTGTTTCTGACGTAAGTTGGTATATTGAGGTACTTAAGCCTGTTCCCATTAGCTTCCACTAGCAAACAACGTATATCAACCTTATATATTCCTCCCCGTACAGGCATAACCTAGATAGACAAATAGAGTGACATACAACAATACATGTAGATGCAACCCCACTTTTGCACTTGCAAACCAACAAACTAAGAAGTGAAGAACAAATATCGAATTCAAGAGACCCTAATTCTAAGAGCATTCATAATAGGCTTCCTAAATCACTTTCTTAGACAACTTTTAGGGAGAAATTGAAAAAATACAACTCCAACCATGTTTCTTATTCACATCCTAAAATAGAAAAACCTCTAGGAGCTTTTATATCTGATGAAAGAGAAATGACTCATAATCACTTCCTATAATTTAATGCTGCTTTATTTAATGAGTATATCAAATCTTTAATTAATGTTAATTATTTTTGAATAAAGATAGACCAATTAAAAAAGAGTAATAACATTTATGACTCGCTAACTAGAGAACATGATTGGAGTTTAAATTTTTTAGAGAGCTCTTAAAATAACTTTTAGAGATTTTCTATTCAAACCCCACACTTCTCTTAGTTCACCCCACGTTCTAAGTTCACCCCAACTTTTAATTTAAATTTTCACAATTTCTAGGAAAACCTCACTATCTTCCCAAACTACCATTAAATACACCCCAAACTAAAAAAATAAGAACTAAAAGAGATTTTCTATTTAAACCCCACAATTTCTTTGTTCCTAGCAAAAAAAACACAAACAAATGAAACCCCAAATCCAAAATTTAATACTTTTTAGAGAAAGAGAACAACTTTACCTCTCTCCAAGAACTGTAACTAGAATTCTAACACTTGGGTATTGTTGAGTTGAGAGAGAGAGAGAGTTTGTAAACAAGAAGTTGGAAGGAGGTTTCTAAAACTTAATATGAAGAGTGGTAGGATGTGTGGGGTGTGTGTATAGATGTATTAGGGTTAATTATTAAGTTGGATGACCTTTTTTGTCTTTTTACACAATAATAAAACTTACAACTTAATGATTTAAGTAGTGGGGTGAATAAAGAGAAGTGCGGAGTTTAAATAGAAAATCTCTAACTTTTATATGTTTTTAGCTAAATTTTAACAAAAATAGTAAGCATGATTGTGAATGATCTAAGGTGTTTGGTTCGTGGTAAAAAAAGGCTTGGGAATAGGCAATCATTTTCCATGAGAAAGGAAAATGAAACCCAAGCTGGATTGAGGGACTCATTTTCCCCCCTCATTTTTTCAATCTAGACTTACCAAACATGAAAAATGAAATAATTTTCCATTCCCAAACCCCCGTTTTTTCCCGCGAACCGAACGCCTTCTTCTTATTCTGCACATGGAGCTATCTAATCTTAAGCTTGTATGAGTAACCCGGTGTATCACTTGAACAGAGCAAGCTATAAATTCGGACTTGCATTGCATCTGATAAACACCAAAAAAATGGTATGTAAAGAATGCACGCAAATTTTACCTCATGCTCCACAAGAAAAATGGACTTTTCGACCAAAACAAAAGAAAAAGACAAAGGGACTTTGTGAAGAAAACGAGAAAAAATTATAACTGTTCTCTCAGTGCATCAATGATGTTTTTCTCTTTAATGCGAGAAAATAACTAACAGACCATCAACAATGATGTTCACAGTGGGGCCAGGAGAGACAATTTTAACAATTGTACGTGAAAGGTGGGAATTGTGGAAAGATAAACAAGTCGGTTTCATTCGATAAGGAGAATGTGTGTGCTTTCTCTCCTCTCATTTGTCTGCTTTGCTTTTCCACGTGATTTTCTCCTCAGAAATATTAATCTATGAGGAAAAAAATGAATTAACTAAGAGGGATGAATAAGGAAATGCAAGAAGGGGCAGGGAAGAAAATCATGAAAGCAAGGATATCCAATCACCATCTTCTTCGTTGACACCAAGAAAATATGATTGACAACCTCAAGCAACGGTTGAGTGAAGAAAAGATATGCCGCCTATTCTGAATATAACTGGCATCAAACATACAAATGTAGAAATTATGTCCAACAAATGATG